TATTGGACTAGTAGCCAATATATGTTCCCGAATATGTCTGTCCAGTATCTTTTCTAGTGTCTTCATTATGAAAGATGACAGACATACTGGCCTAAATGCCTTGCCCACTTCTTACCCACTTCCATTAAATAATTTCAGATAAACAGCAATTATTTCAGAAAATGAAAAAATCTTATATTTCACCTCAAAAAACTTGCACAAAAACTCAAAGTTTCTTCAAAATTAATTTGAAAACCACAGAACTTGTGATACCTTCAACTTGACTACCTACTCACACAAATTAGCACACGGATTTAGGATCATATAAACTACATGAAATGTCAGATACCAGACCGCTCTTCCCATCCCTCCCCTGGTCACCAAATTTGAACTGGAGATATAAAATAAAGGCTTTTGAAGAACTTTTGTTTATTCCTATTATTTATTCCTTTTAAGACATAAAATCTAAAAATTACTGATATGGTTTCGAAAAACAATAACTCAGCTTTTTAAGAGTTGTAGTAAACATTGAATCAGGAGAAAATTTTGAGTAGTGATGAGTGCTTCAGAAACAACATAAAATTAATATATATATATATATATATATATATATATATATATATATATATATATATATATACATATATTTAAAAGTTTTAAATTATGCTAGAAACAAATTGAGTCTACTTTATCGAAAGCATCATTTGGTTTTTGTAATTCATTATACCTCTCAAAACTATACACATTCCTAAAAGATCCGGTTCCTCTCTCACACCGCTCTCATATCATTTACCGTATTCCATGTTCTACCCCCAATTGTTTTTCATCCTATATTGGTGAAACCAAAAATCTCCTAAAAGACCGCATAGCCCAACATAAATATTCTGTATCCTCTCGTAATTTTACAGCTTCCAAATTATCCAAACATTCTCTCTCCCTTAATCATTCATTTGATTTCGACAAAACATCCATCCTTGCCACAGTTCTCAACCATGACAAACTACTCATTTCTGAAACCCTCCACATCCAGCTTCAACCAAAGACAGTGAATCTTAAATCTGACAAACACAACTTTTCTTTAGCCTATTCCCAAATTCTGAATTTATTAAAACATCCATAGTTATATTCCTTTCCTTTTTGCTGATAACTCCTTTACATATATATATATATATATATATATATATATATATATATATATATATATGTGTGTGTAAAGGAGTTGTCAGCAAAAAGGAAAGGAATATAATTATGGATGTTTTAATAAATTCAGTTAAAACAATTTAATATATATATATATATATATATATATATATATATATATATATATATATGCGTGTATGTATATGTATGTATGTATGTGTATATATATATGTATATTTATGTATATATGATATATTTTTATTTCAACTTTTCTTCCTTATTACTCAATAGTTATTTTTCTTTTGAATTTTTCTTTCACTTTCTATTAACTTTCGTTCAATATTCCATAATTTTTCTAAATAATATATCTCTCGTACCTATTTAGGCTTCTAGCGCTTTTAGTTCAAACTTCGTCTGATAACCATTAGAGATGACGCCACCTTCACATCTCTTCTCTCTCACCCTCCCTTGTAACGACTTTATTCTCCCCTTGACACTTAAGGAGAAAGGTAGTACTTCTTTTATTTCTTTCTTATTTCAGCTTTCTCAATTTCTTCCCTCCTTCCTTTCATTCCTTTTCTCTGTTTTTAACTCTTTATTATATTATACATTGTCTGTACATCTTGATAGACTTTACAATATCTCAATTTTCTATCTAACTACTCCATTCTCAATGTTTTAATTTTACTATTTATTTTATTTTCATTTCTTATATAACTTTATATTTCTTTTTTATGTTTTTACATTTTATTCTAAGATTCCCCATGTAACACTTTTGTCACCCCTTTTTGATTATGCCTACTTCATCATTCCACACTATGTAACAGTTTTTATTATTTATCTCTTAGTTCTTAGTCATTATTCTAACAATTTCATTTTACTTTATATCTATCTATTTTATTTTTCTAATAATTTTTTTTTTATTTTATTTTCTCATTTTTTATTATCTTTTTTACCATCATTACTTATGTTTCTCATACCTTGTTATCTGGTTATTTTCTTAGCCCTGATGAAGGCCTGAACTTCAGGTCGAAACGTCGGTATATGTAAAAAATAAATATTATAATTTATTTTTTACCTTCCTTTTTGACTGAGCACCCCAACTATTCTTCTCTTCATTATCCACGACAGTCAACCAATTACCAATTATTATACCTTGTAATTTATTTGATACAATGAACAATATGTTTTTCTGATTTTACACAAACAAACAGATCAATTGTAAAAAAATTTAAAATTATGTACAAATTTTTTCTCAACAATAAGGGTGCATTGACAAGAACCCTCAGACATGGGCTTGCTACTTTCCGACCTAGTATATCAAACAAACAATGTTTCATTTGTCCCCAAAAAAAGTTCGACTGAAAATGGTAACTCCACATCTGTAGCCTCCCTTGGTGTCATATACTTTTTGAAATATCATTGAATCTTGTAATTTTTACATCTTCTAAAATTGACCCATTAAACCGAGAATTATAATTATAAAATGAGAATGTGCCTTTTAACTAGAAATAATATAAATAAATCTTTGAATCTTTTTCCTGTTTTTCTTAAAAACAATATGTTGCCATTTATCTACAGTCAAAGAAAATAAATTCCTCCAATCCCCTAATTTTATTAAAAATAAAAAATAGAGGTTGTGATATTTGTTTCTGTGTTTCTACTGGTCATAAAAAATTAACAATTTTTTTTATATCTTACATAGTGGAACGAATTTGTGTAATAATTCAAGCTTATACACAAATGAAGCAGGAGAAGAAACATGTAAAACTATTTTTAAAAAAACTTTTGAGTTATATAGGTAAATTATTAGCAAAGACGTTTTTTTGTTTATCAATTTTCATAAAAATATAATAATCTGTTTCTTGGAGTGAGAAATTTGGATCTGAGGAGTTGGATGTTTAAGTGAACTAAGGTTTCTCCTCAAAAATCACTATTTTTTAAATTTTCACTATAGCTACGAACCAAGCTTAATACATAAGTATTTTTATGGATTTTTTAATGTTATCAAATAACAATAGGGACATGTTTGTGCTAAAATTATATTTCTACCTTTATCAGCATCTGAAATATAAAATAAATTGTGTTTTGTATATGCGAACTTTGATTTTTTTATTTAAGAATCTAGTGATACACTGAAACTAAAAAATTGTAGACAGCCAATTTTTTGAGGCCTAACTTTACCTTAAAATTTTTAACTTAAATTTAGAAAACACATCTGGGATTCTTTCCTTTCCAGTAAACTGGTTAAAATAGGTTACTACATTGCTGCATTGAACAGATTAAACTTTTGTAACTACATTGGATGAGGCAAGAGTTGTTGAGATAATAGCATAAATTTTGGAGGCTCCCATCCATCCAGCAGTTTTCTGGGCATTTCTTCTTCCCGCATGCGTGCAACGTGGCCTGCCCATCACAATTTTCCCAACCTTTTAAACTTCATAACGTCAGCCTTTGTCCTCCGCCTCCAGTGCTCTCCAAACCTTCACAGTCCAAATATTCGTTGACAGATTTTTCTCTCGAATATAAGAATTTCCCTTTCCTCATTACTTGTGAGGGTCCAGGTCTCTGATCCATAAGTTAGGACAGGCCTTATAAGAGCTTTGTATAAGAGGCATCTAGTACGGCGGGAAAGGTAAGAACTTCTCAGGTGTGCTTTCTGACACCAAAATAGAACCCATTGGCTATGATGAGTCGCTGACTGGATTCCATGGAGATCCTGTTTCCACAGCTCATTACTGACACCAGGTACACATATTGGCCTATCGCCATGGGCTATCTCCGCTGTCTCTGCGCTCATATATTTTGTCATCTTCTGGTTCACAAACGTCTCCATATTCTCCACAGCCTCTGCCAACTCGAGAAAAGGTTCTCTTAAGGACTCAAAGGATCTTGTGACAGTATCCAAGTCATCAGCGAAGTCGAGTACCTGAACGAGCCAGTTGAAGATGGTGTCAGATGTTTGTGTTCCTGAATTGTGTAGGACCTTCTGCAAGGCTAGGTTGAACAGGTAGGCGGTGAGGCCATCGCCCTGCTTAACAACTCTGATAGATACAAACTGTGGAGAGAGATCTGACTGAATCCTCACAGTGCATATTGTACCATCCAAGGTCATCTTGATCAGCCGGCCAATTTCAAAGGGGCTCCAAGCTCTCTTAAAGCTGCATACAACTTAGGTCTTTTAATGCTGTCATAGGCACACCTACAGTCAACAAAGAGGTAGTGAGTAGTCATCTGATATTCCTTAGGACTTCTCGAGAATTATCCGGAAACTGAACATTTGATCAACTGAAGATCTCCCACCTCTGAAACCCACCTGATATTTTCCAATTTCTCTCTCTGCAAATGAGAGAAGTTTCTAATAAATGACAATAGAAAGAACATTGCAGGCGCACTGTAGAAGCGAAATTCTTGGTAGTTGGAGCATTCCAGGATGTTACCTTTCTTGTGAAGTGAAAAGATGATGCTTTCCATTATCTATATTGAATAAATTAAATATTGATTTCTACCAAGTTGAAGATAAAAAATATAACGCAACCACTTACAGTTTTCATTCAAATTTAAACAAAAAATTACATAAAAATAAATTACTTAAAAGTTTATCATGTAAAACCATTGATAATTTTTTTATGAAACAAAGTTTTAAATTATTATTGTTGGCAGACCTTCTGCGTTTATAAATATATCATCACATTTGAGGTCTTCTAACAACAGGTTTATTCTGAGACCAATTGTCTGCTATTAATAATATTGTACAGAATTTAAAAATTCCAAAACTGACCAACAATTATTTAAATATATTTTTAAAACTTTTGCATAATAAAAAGTAAACTTTGAATTTCCGAAAGTATAAATTTTATTAAATTAAATTAATAAATCACCTGCCAGCCTTTATCAGCAGTCCTATAATAGGGATAATTTTTAGTGATATAAGAATAAATCCCACTAAGTGTTAGCTGCTTGTCAGGTGCCGATGCAACTGCTTGAACTATTAACTGAGCATAAGAATATGGAGGCTTAGTTTCATCCTGGAACATCAAAGAAAATTATATATAAAACACTTAATGTATAATGAAGAATAAAATTTATATTCATAGAAAAAAAAAAGATTTCAATTTGTCATAGACAAATAAATACAAATATGAGCAGCAGAGTTTAACCACTAAGATCATATTTTCCTTTTATTAATGCTAATTTGAGGAAATAGAATAGAATTTCAAAATAAATTTAACTATTTAATTTTGTTTCTAATTATAAAAAAACATTAATTTTTTTCTCAAGTCTGGTTTTTATAATTATACTAGGACGATACCCCATGTCCTCCCAACGGTGGGTCAACCCCCATTTTAAAAACTATACAACTGTTCATTTAATTGTATTATCCGTTGCTCCAATTCTATAACTGTAATTTACATGTATTCTGTATTTCAGATTGTATTATTATTTATCAACATAAAATAAAATAAATTAAACCATAGTTCCTACAAATTTTTAAATCCTTTAAATATCTATTTTATACATCGCGCATTATTGCCATTTTATATTATTATATACTCATAATGATTCTTATTGCTAATTTGTAACTATAATATGTATTCAACTTGTCCAGCTTCATATGAGCCCAACAGCAATATACATTGCCTTTCATTTCTAATATTTTCATTTTATGTTACATTATGCTTCCTTTTCTATTTTATAACAATTATAATTATATCACAAAATAATGTAAAAAATATTGTATGTAATATAATAATTAATATATAGTATTCAAGGGGAAAATGTCTAGATCGAAATATAATTGCTTTCACCTAGATAAAATCAAACTACCAGCTCCAGCCAGATGAACAACATTTTCTGTACAAATTTTTGTACTATAATATTTATTTTTTATTAGAATTAGGGATCGACTAATATCGAAAATTTGACCGATACTGAAATTTAAAATGCCTATATATCGGCCTATTTTTTCCGGTTCTGTCAAAGTTTCTATAGTTATACATAGAATATCCTACTTATTGCTAAATCAAAGAATAAATAGAACATTTACGCATCGGCCATTCATTTCTAAATATCTAGTTCAGAATATCATCTCATAGAAAATTCTTGTAATTGCTGAATGAAAATGTCAATCAATCATCAAGATTTATTGGCCCCCGATGACTTTATTTTACTTAGATTGGTACAATTAAAAAAAAAAATTAATTTAATTATATTATAATTCTTTTTTTATCCTCTCTCCAAAATAAGAGCAGATATCGATATTTTAAACACTGATATATATCATGCAGCTAATCATCGCCTTTTCAGACGCTTCTGAGAAAGGTTACCGGTGTGCGATCTACCTGAGAGTTGGGTGCCCAGGAAAAGCTTCCAAAATTCATTTGTTAAGGGCGAAAAGTAAGGTGGCCCACTTAAGATTCAATGAGTGCCATGTTTGGAATAAAGCGCTGCTCTTCTTGCCTCTGGACTACTTGTGTGTATTGGCAAACTTAAAAGTCATTTGCGAATTAATGAAGTATATTGTTTTTTGGATTCTCGTAACGTACTCTATTGATTACAGACAACACCTCATGAACTTCAGATTTATGTTGCTAATCGCGTAGTACAGATTTTAGAAGTAACAGAATCTATACGGTAATTCATAGTAAGCGTATGCTCCATAGGGGCCTTTATCCGCCAAGATACCTCTAGAGGGCCACTTCAGAAGCCTCTTTAAGGAAAAAAATCTTTGCAAACATGGATTACGAAAATTGAGTCCCGATATCAAATTTAACATCCATCAATGTTCAAGCAATAAAAAAAGCCATAAAATCCACGTCATTGGACTCATCACTGGGGCTGGGAGTTTTGACCCATACCATTAAATTCTTTGATGGGTACTTCTTGTCCAGGGGGCCGCTCCTGACTGATATCTGCCAATGTTTATAACCTGAACACTGATAACTCCCATAACGCAGTGATAAGCCTTCTCTTACTTCATATCTTCGTATTATTGTATTAAATTTTATTATTGAAAGTGTTAACAGATACAAAAACAAATGTAATAACAAAAAAAATACTTTTGTAACATTGACGACACATATATTAATGAAATAATAAAAAAATACTTTAAGAAGATATGTACATATAAAACATCAAAATGAAATAATAAAAAAACACATTTAAAAGAACATATTTACATAGAAAAGAAAAAATATCAACACTTTAAACAACATATGTACAAATTATTTTCAGTTAATTATTCACTTCCTTTTGTCTTATTTATTTTGGAAGGTGAAATTGTTTTATGCTATTTAAAATAGCGAGGAACGGGTCCTCTTCTCTGTGAGCCCGCCGCCACAAAAATTCGCACAAATATGAATCGAGGTGTTGTCTGGCAGTTCCTCTATGTACTTTATTTCTCCACTTAGCTGAGCCCCACAATCGTTTTATGTGTTGAGTATGAACCCCAGTTGATGGATCGACAAAATTATACCGGTGATTCACTTGGAAATGGTCATAGTTTGACCATTCAGTTGTCGGGTGTTGTATCCTTTCCAACAGTCCGAATAAATGGTCATTCCCTCTTCTATATGGTTTTTAATTGCTTGTAAAAAGATTGTTGCCTTTCTGTCAATTATTTTGACGACAAAACATTCATCTGTTTCTCGGCAAACTCCACCAAACATCCACTGCTGAGGTAAAACTCTCCCCACATGATTTTTTCGTTTAGAAAAAAGACTTTCATCTACTTCAACCACTTTGCCAGGTACTCCAATTTTTTTTCTTACCATAGCTCCACTGGATAGTTTCAACTGCTCTTTGCCCCACTTCATCGTTGTCAAGCTATGGGACCACCCATAAATCAATTTTAAAGCTGTTAAAAACGAAATCCTTGAGCCCTCCAACCATGTTCCTTTCCTTATTGAAAGTTTTGTGTCACAAGTCTTACGAAAGCATCTCCATTTGGTCTTCTTGGTTAACTTCATCCAATGACCTTGTCCACACAATTTCACGTCGGCAAGTACCCCAACATTTTGAAAATACTGAATTGCCTGTTCTTATGAAGACGGTAAATCCCATATTCTAAGAAGATCCATAATATGACGAAAATAAAAGGGAAAAAAATGAAAAATAAACACAAAGGGGTCACAAACTAAAAAAAAATGTAAAATAAACACAAACGTGCCAAAAACTAAAAATAAACACAAACGGGCCAAAAGTAAACAATTTAATAAGTGAACGTAATAAGGGAATAACTGAAAACTAAACAATGCAATAACTCAACAGTCTAGCTCCAAATTGAAAAGTCGTATGCAACTGAAATTGCATATTTAAGGTTTATATGTCTATAATGTTTACATGTCTATAATGTTACAGCAACTTTTTTGTCAAAGTTGCCTAACCAGAAGTGGCACTTGATATTGATTTTACACATTTTTACAATTTTAGGCAGTTTTAAATATAATGTAGGTTATATTCTCATTGATGTTCTTCACCAGGGCTTAAATGGCTAAATTTCTTCCTCTAAAGTACCTTTAATTTTTTTTATTTAAAATAATTAATCATTTCATATTATAACCTGGTGTAAAAAATGGTTAAATATAACGAATGAAGAAAATTGATTGGTAACTGAAGGAGAAATAAGGGTTGGAAGCTATATGCCAAGAGCATCTGTACAGGGCTTTCATACTGTTAGTTAAATATTTATATATCTCATCCATTTTTATATAAATTCCATCACTCATAATTTTTTTAAAATATTTTCATGCGAAATGTTGAAGATCTACTAATATAAACATAATAATATAAAATGTTTATTAAAATTAAGTTATTTTTTCAAGTTGATAAAAGTTGATAACCGATAAAAAGCAGAATTTTTCGAAAAGATCCATTTTCTCCCACAATCATTAGTATTGTTTTTGTACTGTACTAATGTTGGTAAGTGAAAGTTATGCACCAAATCAGATTTTTCTACAAGTACTCTAAAAGTTGTTCTAAGATTTTTTTTTTACCAAAGCACACTTAACACAAGTTGAAAGCACACATCATCATCAAGTCCTTCCTCTGGAGGAAGTCCTTCCTCGTCCATCATTGTCATCTTCAAGGAAGCAGTTTCCTTTCAAAATTTGTCAAACCATCGTTGAATGGCGCACTCCCTCACACTGGCATTGCCACAGACATCATTAATATTTCTGGCCTTTTGGATGTTGATCAAATAGAGTTTAAACTCGTAAAACAAAATATTGGACAGATCAAGCTTTGGTAAAGACTGAACTACTTTCACCTAGTGGAATGCTACAGAAGAGGGTTAGTAAGTGTTAATACCAATAAAAAGAATTCCTCAAAACTAAACAGTTTGTTAAATAGAGGGTTAATATAAAAAAAGCACGACTGCATTATTTTCTGGGCAACTCAATAGAAACAGCATCAAATTTTCTATCCCTCAGTTGAAAATGCTATAAATACCACAGCTTTCAAAACTATCCTCGACTTATAAATTAAATTTCAGAAACCAGTGTTAGATATGGGGACAAATCATAGCAATAGTTGTAAATATATATAAAAGAGAAGAATAAAAATCTGCTAGAAAAAAGAAATTCTGCGATCACTGTTGAGAAGATCCAAAATCTTTGAAAATGTAACAAGGAATTGATGGAAACATTATTTGGTGGAAAAAATATGTAATAGACAGATAAAAAGAGTAATACTATAACTATGCCATTTATGAGAACCTGTGGTAGAGGACTGTAGGCGCCTACGCCAGTGCCCCTTTTCCGCTGATTTTTTTTTTTTTTTTTTATATTTGTTTATTTAGAAATATTACATTCTGTCACATCAAGGACATTTATAATAGTGTTCAGAGAAAGCACACTCACACTCTATTTACAATAAAAAAAAAAAAAAAAAAATAATACAGAAACTTATTTCCGCTGATTAAATGCATTTTCTACAGAGCTAATTCAAATATGTTAAAATTAATCAGTAATTTAGAAAGATAAATGTGTTACCTAGATATTTTATTTCTAGACTTTTTTTCGTTAGTGTT